TGTGTGTGTGTGTGTGTGTGTGTGTGTGTGTGTGTGTGTGTGTGTGTGTGTGTCGGTCTTTAGAAACAGGGTTTCTCTATGCAGTGTTGGCTATCCTGGACTCACTTTGTAGACCAGGCTGTCCTTGAACTCACAGAGATCTGCTTGCCTCTGCCTCCCCAAGTGCTGGGATTTCAGGTTTGTGCCACCACCACCCGGCTCTCATCTCTCTTTTCACAGAGCCTAGTAGGGTGATGCTGCTTCCTCGCCGTGATGAACTGTGCCCTCAAAACTGTAAGCCAAGTAACCTCTTTCTTCCTTAACTTGCCTCTGTAAGGTATGTTGTCACAGCAACAAGACAAGAAGATACTGAAGCACATGTAACATGCGCAGTCTGGGGCTGGAAGTCTGAGCCTATTCTTAGCAGGCATGAGGCTGGGGATTCGATTTCCAGCACCAAAATATAAAAGCAAAACATTGGGAGAGGAGGCTCAGTTGCTAGAGTGTGTGCCTCACACACGCACAACCCTGGGTTGGATCGCCATCACCGTATGAACCGTATGAACACACCGTATGAGTGTGTGAGTGCGGTGTTACATCCGTATGAGCCGAGTGTGGTGTTACATGTCTGTTATACCAGCACTCTGGAGTTGGAGGCATGGGAAGCAGGGGATTGAAAGGTCAGGGCCACCCCCGACTTCATGGAGAGTTGGAGACCAGCCTGGAACTACAGGAAACCCTGTCCCAGAAAAAGAAAGAGGTGGCTAAGTGGTTAGGAGCACATACTGAGCTTGCAAATGACCCTAGTTCAGTTCCCAGCACCTATAAAAAGCACAACTGCCTGTAACTACAGCTCTGGGGGATCTGACCTCTTCTGGCTCACACACACACACACACACACACACACACACACACACACACACACGAAGGCACACCTGCCTAGCATACTTAAAAAAATTTTAAAAGAAAAAGAAAGCATGATGGAGGAAGAGAAAGGAGAGAGGCATAGTTGGCTCAGATCCTGGTGGCTGGAGGGACTCACAGACCACGGTGCCAGCATTTGCACTTACCCTCCACTAATGGCAGAAAAGCGGGAAGGGAAGGACATGTGCAGAGGAGAGCAAGCAAACCACTCTTGCATGAACTAACTTGGGTCCCAAGTGAGCCTCACCTCTCTCTTCCCAGCAACCTAGCTGCATTCCACCAGGCCCCACCTCTTAATGGTCCCACATCTCTTGGCATCACAAGCGGACCAACCTTTAGTACATGAATCTTTGTGTGTGTGGGAGGGGGTGTCTACCTCATTCAAAGTAAAGGGCCACTCAAGGGGATTGGACTGCACATGTTGAAAAAGCCACTGTGATTATGAAGGGAAATGGTCTGGACAGAAGCACGGTAGACATTGTAAGTCACCAAGGAGACCACTGCAAGCTCAGATAAAGTTGGGGGCTGGGAATGTACCTCGGTTGGCAGGATATTTGTCTAGGATGCATGTGACCTTGGGTCCAGCATCTCATAATGCAGGCGTGGTGGCCCTTACCTGTGATCCCAGCACTTGGGAGGTAGAGGCAGGAGGAGCAGAAGCTAAAGGGTTATCCTTGGCTACATATCAGACCAGCCTGGACTATGTTCTAGTGTTCTTTCTGTCGCTGTGACAAAACACTCTGACCAAAACAACTTAAGGGAGGAAAGGGATTTATTTCACTCACACTGCCAGGCCACAGCCCATCACTGAAGGAAGTCAAGGCAGGAACTTGAAGGCAGGCCTGCTTGCTAGTCCACATAGAATTGCCTCCAACCAAGGAACTCACCTCACCAGCATGACGTTACAGAGTAATGCTGCTTGCTAGCTGGCTCGTAGACAGCTTTTACTCAGCTAGATTTATTTATCTTTTTTGGGCTTATTTTTTATTATTATAAATCATAATTATGAGAGGGTGATGCTCATGAGTTCAGATGCCCACTGAGACTAATGGGTGGGGGGCATCAAATTCCCTGGAGCTGGAGTTAACCGCTGCTGTGAGCCACCTGATGTGGCCACTAGAAACTGAACTCCAGTTCTCTGCAGGAGTGGTGCTGGCTACAACCCGCTGAGCTGGCCCTCCAACCCTGAGCTCGCTTTCTCATATAGCCCAAGACCATCTGTCTTGTGGAGGGAATAGCCCTCCCACAGAGGGCTGGGCCCTCCCACATCAATTAACAATCAAGACAGTCCCACACAGACGTGCTCCCAGCCAATCTGATCTAGGTCCTCAAGAGAGCCTCTCTTCTCAGCTGTGTCCCTGTCCCCTTCCCTACACACACACACACACACACACACACACACACACACACAATGAGAGTAGTTGGATCCACATCCATATCTCCAAAAAAAAAAAAAAATGGATGAAGCAGAGTCTGGAGAGATGCACAGTCAGATCACCTGCCACTGTGATGTGAGGAGGATAGAGACAGGAAGGAAGAGGCAGAGGTGTCGAGGCTCCCTCTCCTGAGACCAGATGCTGTAGGAATCATTGGCAGGCAGGGAACAGAGAGGAGGAGGAGGATGGTTCTGGGGAGAAAGCACGAGTTCCAGCCTATGGTGGCCTTGAGCAGAGGTCAGCTCTACGCAAGCAGAGGGTCCGATGTGGGGAGGACCCTAACTTGAGCTTTGAGAACCGTGCCTTCTTAAGTGTGGCCATGCATTTGGATGGAGTCTTGGAAGGAAGACCCAAAAGGGAGGCAAAGAGAAGCCTGACGTGTGTTGCTTAAGGAAGCAGAGTTTGCCAAGAGAGGGGGGAGGGATCCAGGACATGGCACCGTGTCACAGATCCCAGAGAGGTGCGTGTTTCAAAGGGAAGGAGTGAGCCATAGGGTAGGATGGAGCTCAGGACTGGCTTAGTGGCCTCGGAGGCCCTCTGGGGGAGGGGTGCTTCCGTGGGTACCAGACTCAGAAGCTGGGCAGCTGTGGCTATGGAGAGAGTGGGAAGTGAGGGAAAAGGTGGCTGTGATCAGTTTTGTCAAGTGGGGAGTGGAGCTGGAACAGATGAGGACTTCTGGGTCTCTACAGAAGAAACTGCACGTATTTCAAGCTGCATCTGTCAGCAAGAATATCAGCAGTTATACGCAGGAGAGAGGTTCGTGGACAAGGGTCAGCTCTTACCAGGGCTGAGACCTGGAGTGGGGCAGTTGTCATGGGGTAGATAGCTGGGTAGGTCTGTGTTGGTATCAAGAAAACAGTGGAGGATCATATTTAGTGGCAAGGAAAAAAAAAAAAGAAAAAAAGAAAAGAAAAAAGAGGCCATCCATGGAAAAGGGACTCGCAGGAACCCTGAGAGAGTTTGCTGTCCAGAGAAATACAGTTGGATAGGCACGCCACGGGGGGAGGATCTGTGATACCAGCCAGGGACACAGCTGAATTTTTCCACTGTCTGATCCTTGGTCAAAAGAATTCAGAAAACAGAGACTGAGCTGGGCCTGGTGCTAGCCTTCCCCACCACCACGTGCCCTGCCATTTCTGCACCATTGGGTAGATCCACCTCCCACCTAAAAGCCAGGCAAGCGGCCATCACCAGGTGTCCAGCCTCCAGCCTCCTGGCTCTTCCTTCTCTACCAGCGCAGGGCAGTTGGGTAGTGCAGGCTATCCCAGGCTGGCAGGTGCCATAAAACTCCTACCCGCCCGCAGATCTTCAGGCTGACCCGAAGTAAGGTGGATGACGACAAGGCCCGCATCCTGATCCGCAGCCTGCTGGACCACCCAGCCCTTGAGGAGCTGGACATGTCTCACAACCTCATTGGAGACCGTGGAGCGCGGGCGGCAGCCAAGCTACTGAGCCACAGTCGCCTGAGGGTGCTCAACCTGGCCAACAATCAAGTACGGGCGCCCGGCGCACAGTCACTGGCTCACGCGCTGGCACACAACACCAGCCTTGTCTCCCTCAACCTCCGCCTCAACTGCATCGAGGACGAGGGCGGCCAGGCGATCGCCCACGTCCTGGAGACCAACAAGTGCCTCACCGTGCTGAACCTCGGCGGCAATGAGCTGTCCGAGCCCACAGCCACGCTACTCTCCCAGGTGCTCCCCATCAACAGCACGCTCATCAGCCTCAACCTATCCTGCAATCACATCGGGCTGGTGAGCCGCTGGGGAAGGTGGGCGGGGCGTGGCAGCGAACAACCCTAGGCCGATGGGGGAAAACTATTGGGAGCGGACAGCGCAGCATGCTGCCCGGAAAATGTGTTCTCCTCTCCTGTGTGCCCTCCACTGCCCGCTCTCTCCTCTCGTGTTCATGTGTTAGTGGTATATACGTGCATGTAGACCTGTGTTTGCATGTCTGTGGGTGTACCTGTATGAGCATGCGTTGCATGCGTGGGAAGACCCAAAGTTGATGTCGGGAATCGCTCTTCCATCGTATTCGCTGGAGCAGGGTCTCTCAGGAAGCCCAGAGCTCTCTGAAATGACTGGTCTTGCTAGCCAGAGATGTTCTTTCTCCCCCTGGAACTACAAGTGGGTCTCCGTACTCGAGGAATTCCAGGGTTCGCGCTAGTACACAGGTGCTTTCCCCCTGAGCTATCTCCCAGCTCCTTTTTCTTTTAATTCCTAAGCATAGTCTCTCTGTGTAGCTCTGGCTGTTCTAGAACTATGTGGACCAGGCTGACCTTGAACTCGGAGATCCACCTGCCTCCATCTGTCTCTTTGCTACTGGAATTGTATTTGTGCTTGTCTTTTCCTTCTTCCACCCCCTCCAAGCATTCCCTCACATCCTACTAGACTGACTATTCTCAGGTCCCCAGGACTGAAGAGAGGAAGGAATGGAACAACCAGGAACCCATGTTTTTCAAAACCCGTGGGTTGAGCCATCACCTTAGTCTTTGTCTTAACCACAATTTTTCAAGTAGAACAGAACTTGCCCATGTCCTGAATAGTGACCTTGCAAAGGTATCCCATTTGTATGGAAATATGTACATGTGATGTTGGGACGTGATATAAAATGACCCCTCTGCCTCACCCCTCCTCAGGACGGTGGAAAGCAGCTCCTGGAAGGCATGTCAGAAAACAAGACCATTCTGGAGTTTGACTTGCGTCTGTCAGATATATCCCAGGAGAGTGAGTACCTCATTGGCCAGCTTCTGCATGCCAACCGAGAGGCCGCCCGCCAGCGGACCCTGAATCCTGGCCACTTCATGTCACCCATCACTAACAACTGTCCGGAGACTTGTGTAGACTAAAATGGGGCACAGGGCTAGAACAGTGGCTTGACAGGCCAGTGTAGCAGCTACACCTTCATTTCACACCCTTGCTATGCCTGTCCCTGGTTCTGAGGAGGGGAGAAGGGACAATCTCCTTGGAATGACTGACCGGATTTGTATGCATGCAGATGCTGAGGTGGGGAAAAGGACCTAAGGATAAAGAGATGATGAGCTAGTTCTCACACCTGGAAGATGGCCATTCCTAAAACCAAACAAATAATCAGCTTCCAGGAGCAGGAAAGGCAAAGGACTCTAGAGACCATCCCTGCCCCCGTCTCCCTCTTGACTAACCCCACCCCTTTCCCTTTCTTGTAAGGAAATCCTTGAGCCCTGATCTCAATCTACACACACACACATACACACAGAGAGCAAAGCTATGCCTGTCTCTCTCTGCTCTTCCACCTTGCTTGAAGATGCTGCCTGCCCATCACACCCCTGGTGTGGGCCACTTCTACAGAACTCCCCATCACTAACCCTCAAGCTGGGAAAGGGTCACAAGTGACAGAAGGGCTCAGACACAGAGACCTCCTACCCACGGTAGGGAATAAGTGTTACTCTGAGGAAGGGAATCAGTGAGTCATCCACACTTTTATTATCCACCAGTGTGATTTGTACAATCTTTGCGCTTGGAATTCCATGACAAAAAGGCCACAGTGTGATGCACCCAATTTGACAGAGACCTGTCTTCTCCCGAGCCAGGCCCAGCCCACCCCACAAGCCCTTATCCTCAGGACGTACAGTCTTCCGGGTACCCTCCGTGAGTCCCTGTCACTCTGTGACTGCCCATCCTGGGACTACACCCACAGGAATCACAGCCTATGGGCCTACGAGAGGATCTGACTGATGAATTCAGGCCAAGACCCTCATCTCCAAACTCTCTTTGAGCTGAGAACCTCACAGCCCACCTATTCAGAGGACGGGTGACTGACTGCAGCTGCAATCCAGGAGGGCCCGCGCTCCAGGGACCCTGCAACAATGGGGTGCTGAGCTGAGCACCAGAGGGGGCTTGGGAGTGACTACGTGTGTGCCTGTCCGGGCAAACCGGAGTCCTCTGTGCCTGACACCCTCTGACAGTTCCAGAATGCAAACATGTAGGTGTGAGGGTGTGTGTGTGTCTGTGTGTGTGTAGCCACAGCTGCTAGCAGAGGTTCTAATTAGAGAAACAAGAACATTCAGTGTAAAGTTTAATTTTAGAGATTAATTAATTTTCTGGTTTTCATTTTCCCTGGCAATCAATAAAGCTACCAAGAAAAGAGACCAAAGAATTGCTTTCTCTCTTAAGTCTGTGCGTGTGTGGGAGGTGAGCTGTCTGTGCAAGATGACCTAGGCAGAAATGGTCAGGCAAAAAAAAACCAAAAAACAAAAAACAAAAAACAATAGCAAGGCTTCCCCTCCTCCTCTCCGGAGGCCAAGCTCTGTCACTGGACCCAGCATGAAGGAGAGTGAGCCAAGTCCTTCCCTCCTTGGAGAGGTGAGGTGGCCAGGCTGACCCTAAATGGGAACAAGATATTCCGGTGCCAGCTGGCCAAGAACTGGGGCCTCAGGCCACAGCTCCCCCACCACCTGTGCGTCAACAGATGTCTGCTCCGGGAAAAGTAGAGTGCTCCAACAACCAAGCCACCCACCCACAGACGAGGAGCCCACACTCAGTGTCCGGGAGGGTTCAGTGCTGGCAGGCCAGTGGCTACTGCCGCCCAGGAAACCTGGTGGGCAGCTGTGATGATCCCTTCTGCCCAAACCCATTCCCCTCTGACACCCCTTCCTCCTCACCCAACCATCTCCATATGGTTAGAAAGCTCACCCCCCCCCATTTGAGCCATAGATCATGGCACCCCCCACAATATGGGCTTCCCGTATCCCCCTGGGAAGAAGGGAAGGGGAGCCAGAGTTGTTGCATAAGTGGGGGCAACTTCCCCCGTTGATACAGCCAGGGGAGGCCAGGAAGATAGAGTTCTGACAGCGAAGGCAAAGCAAGAAGCAGAAGGAGGAAGACTGCCTGGATGGCAGCCCAATCCCTGGGTGCTAAGTCTGCTGGGAAAACTTCAGCCAGGGCAGCTTGGGAGAGCAAGGGGCCGGACACAGACATGCACAACGAAGCACAGTGGGGTGGGGGTGGGGGTAAGGGAGCGTGGGGAGAGGGAGAGCAGAGTCGGGTCAAAGCTTTGAAGGGACAGGACAGGGGTTGGTGTCCTGGGGCTGTGGCAGGACGCCCCTTTGAAGACCTAGATAAAAGGAAGTGAAGGGTCTGGCAAGAACCCAACTCCTGCCACTGGAATTAAGTATCTCCAGCTAGGGTTTGTTGATGGCTCCACCGAGCATGTGTGAGGGACGCACTACCTCAGCAAGACCTAAAGCTACAGCACGCCCCGCCACACCTTCAGAGCTGGCGAGCTGGCTTCGTTCTACCGACCACTGCTAACCCTGCTCCTCCTCCCGCCTGCCTCCTGAGTGAGTTCGCTTGACACCAAGGTGTGTCTCAAGCTCCGTCCCCTTGGTAACTCACCCCGGCCTGCTTTAACAGGGCCTCCGGGCTGGCACCTTGGCCTCCTTAACGGAAGCACCTACCCAGAACCCAGGGGAGGGAGCAGCTGATTGCTGGGAGGCTGAACGGGTCAGGCATGCCCTCCCCAGCTTCCCTTCCTCGCCCCGCACCCTGACAACAGCCCTTCAGAGCCAGGAAGCCCGAGGTGAGTGACGTCATTGCCGTGATGATAGGTCCCTCCAGGACCGGACCTCTGGGGCCCAGTGAGATAAACAACAGTGGTGGGAGTGGCAGCAAGGAACCGCCAAGCTTTCCCCGAGGCAGCGTCAGAACTTTTGCAAGGCGTGGAGGGGCATACTGGGCTGCCACCTGGCCCCACCCCAGACCCGGTGAACTCAGTAGCTGGCTGGAAGCCAGCCCTGCCGCTTGCTCTTCACCAAACCACCGCCCGCCCGCCCCCCTCCACGGGGGCCCAGGTGGAGCGAGGTTATAAACAAACAAACAAACAAAAAAGCGTCAAATGCCCTTCCTGTGGCCACGGTGACTCCCTTAGTGGAGAGGCCAAAAAAGAAAAAAAAAAAAAAAAAAAACAAAAAACTGGTCCCACATCATAGTTGCCTAGTAACAGTCAAGACTCGATGAAAGCCTGGGCGGGAAATCTCGAGTGTCCGTGGAAAAAGAGGTGTTCCGGTAGGAACGCGGTGGGGACCGGAAGAGAGCCACCTCGGCCCCGGTGGGTGGGATTCTCAGAGAGCTGCCAACCCCTCGTCCTCTGTCTGCGTACAGGGAAGCAGAGTCTTAGACCACCAGGGTCTTGCCTGGGCGTGCCCCTCGCCCCCTGCCTTCCCCCATCCCCCGCCCGTCCTCAGTCACCATCCTGCTTCCCCCTGCTACACACAGGGAGCACAACCCTTGGAGGGGCGGAGGCGGGAGAACGGCGCAGGCTCCCTCCAAGGGCGGGAGGTCACAGTGAGGTCTCCACGCAGGAGCCGTGGCGGTGCAGTGGCCGGTGGCTGTGGCCCAGGCACCCCTCCTGCCGATGGACGATGAGGACAGGGAAGTAGAGGGCGTCGTGGTAGGGGGGCGGGGGCCCGGCCTCCTCCTCGTCGTCGTCGTCCTCCTCGTCATCCCGCATGCTGGCCTGGCTGGACAGACGCGTCTGCTCGGTGGGGCAGCTCGCCTCGTTGACGCTCCCGCTCCGGCTGCGCCACAGGCAGCTACGCCGGGAGCCGTAGAGGCGGCCGAGGGAGAAACGGCTGCCCCCGCACCCTGCACCGGCTCCGGGCCCCTGGCCGGCCCGAGGGCTGGCGCAGATGCTCAGGGCGCTGCGGGAGAAGATGGACGAGCTGCTGACCGCCCGCTGGCAGTGCTCGCAGCTCCGCCGGTACGGGGCCACGCCCGCCGCGCCGGGGCCGCCCACCCCTCCGTAGCGACACGTGGGGGCGTAGCCCCCGCCCCCGGGCCCCCCGCAGCGGGCGCCCAGCCCCGCCAGGTCCATGAGCACCGCCTCCGAGTAGCTGGGGACCAGCTGCTGGTTGGAGCGGATGTGCCACTCGAGCTCCGTGCTGTCCACCGTGTTGACCCGCGGCAGGCGGTGCGTGAGCGGGGGCAGCAGCTCGTCGCTGGGGCTCAGGCCTCCGCCCGCGCTGCTGGCCGAGCCCGGCCCCTCCAGGCCGAAGAGCTTCTCCACGTGGTAGTGAGCGTAGGCCGTGCGGTACTCGGCCAGCACCCTGAGCGGCCACGACAGGGTGAGCAGCGCTGCGGCCCAGAAGGCCGACGAGCAGGCGTACCAGGGCGGCCGGGCCGGGTCGGGGAAGGCCACCATGAACTCTCGGAAGTCCACGTTCTTGAGGTGCATGCCCTCCCGTGCCTCCATGTAGTCGTCCAGGCCCTCGTTCTCGGCGAAGAAGCGTGCCCGCTGGCACAGGTACGCGTTCTCGGCCTCCACGCTGGCGAAGCTGAAGCACTTGGTGAAGCGCAGGCGCGTGGCCGGCGCTCCCTCCAGCCCCACCAGCGCCTTGGACACGTCCCGGACCCCGCAGCGCGCGTAGTCGAACTCGGCCTCGGCCACGTGGGTGTTGACGCGCTCGTGGTAGACCTGCAGTAGCGCAGGAGGAGGCTGGAGTCGCAAGGGGGAGCGGACCGTGGCCTTTGTCTACCCACCCCAATAAGGAGACACAAGTCCCCATACCTGGGGTCATCTCCATCATCATCGTCGTCCCCTCCCCCTCCCTCCCTCTCCCAACTCCAGTGGGTTTTTCACTGTGAACGGTGATTGCCCTGAAAACTCGGTATCACGAACACCCACAGCCTCTAAGAGTCTTGGGCTGAGGCCCAGGAACCTGGGTTTTAAGCCTAGCCCTGCCGAGTAGAAGCAAACTCAGGCAAGGCTGAGCCGAGGTCTCCTCAGCCGTGAGTACTCAGAATAACTGCTTCACTGAACATCTGCAACCGGGAAGCACTGAACAGACTCCACCCAGGAGCCAGCCAGCTTGAATTTTAGGCCCCATCTCCTCACTTACTGTTTGACCTTGGACAGGTTTTGTTGTTGTTGCTTTTCTTTTCAAAAAAACAAAAAACAAACACCAACGCACACAGGTTTGCTCCTTAAAATAAAACGGGGATATACCTACTTCATAGGTTTGCGGTAAGGCTGAAATGGTTTTAAACCTGCAAGGGCCTAGGCCTTGCTAGGCTCTGTTGGTGTTTGCTGTTATTACTGGGTGCCCGCGGGGGCTCGCTGCCATCTCCTGCTCCCTCACAAGCCAGGAGAGAGGCGGGCGGTCCAAGCCACCACCCTCATCTTGAACAGCCCGCGCGCACCTCCAGCCCCTCACCTGGGTGGTGGTGTAGGCGTCTCCGTTTCGGTACCGGGTGACCTGCCGAGTCCGTCGGACGTAGTGATAACTGATGGCCTTCCACCATATGCAGGGGGTAGCCTGCTGCATGCGGCCCACGCGCTCCCGGACGCTGCTCACGTCCACCCGGTGCTGCAGCTCGTGGCGGGCTTGGCAGTGCCAGCACTCCACCAGGTAGACCGCGTACAGCATGAGCAGGAAGGCCAGCGGGATGTAGACATAGCCGTTGGAGCAGGGGCTGTCATGGTACATGAGGCTGTTGCCCTGGTAGGCGCTGCTGAAGGTGAGGCGCGTCACTGTGGTGACGTGGCACCAAGCCACCGCCCCCAGGCAGCCGTACATGAGCAGCGAGAGCAGGAGGCACTTCCAGTGGGAGTCACGGCAGAGAGATTTGGTGAAAGAGGGCTGGATGGGACGTTGCTGCTCAGATGGGGGGGGGGGGCGGGGCGCCAAGATGAGGAGGAAGTGAGACAGAGTGGCAGGACCCAGCACAGGGAGGAGTACAGACATGGAGAGACAGTAGGCAGGCGCCAAGGTTGCAGACAGGGATGTAACGGGGAGAGAGATGGGAGCCAGGGACCAGAGATAAACACAGAGGTTCCGCGTGAGGACAGAAAAGGTGGCCAGAATGCCAATACAGAAAAGTGCAGAGAGAGATACCACACGAGGGCAGAGAGAGATCCGAAGGAGAGGCCCAGACAGACAGGATGGTATCCAGAAAGAGTCCAAAGACAGGAACAAAGATGGCGATGAGACAAGAGAAGGTGTGAATGGGGAGAAGGAATAGATAAATAGGCATTAGCGAAGGTAGGTCCCTAGCCCAAACCCTCTCCAAGTGTCCCAGGAAAGCAGGGAGGGACCCACTGACGTCATCTCCCCTCTTGACAGGCGGGCCCCTGAGTTCTTGCAGATATTTTTCAGCCCTGAGTTCTAGAGAAGCCATTCTCCTTTGGCTCGACCACCTCTGAACCCCCTCCCGGGCAATCTAACACTTGCTTTGGAGAAGGGTCTTAAGCCAGGCCAGTCCCGTTCCTCCCTATGTTCTTCTGTGAGTCTTCCTAAGGTTTACACCCGCTCCAGACAAACACTCATTCCTTCCCTCTGCTCTAGGGCAGGAAAGAGGGGTTTGGGCCCCTTAGCACAAGACAGTCCAAAAGTGCAGAGGCCTGTGGGTGAGGAGAAGATGGAAGTGTGAAAGGAAGCCCCCGGAAGCCCCGCCTTCTGTCACCAGTGTTTGCTACTCTCCCGGGGCCTGTCTGTTAAAAGCGCTTGGCACATTCTGAGTTGTTTACATGTCTGTCTGTCCACCAGATGGAGTACTCCTGAGGGCAGGGCCCGTGTCTCGTGTCTCGTTCTCTTTGCCTCCTGACACCCAGCAAGCACATAGTGAGGGTTGAGTTGGAGTGCTCAAATAGCCTGTCTTCTCACCTCTTCTACATTGTGGCATGCCCCTGCACGCGCGCGCACACACACACACACACACACACACACACACACGAATCCTCCTGCTGCAGTGCTGGCTGAGCCCTTTTAATTCTTCACGCCTGGCCTTGGGACCAGCCAGAGAGAAAAAGCGGCGGAAACCCAGTGCACGGCTGACAAGCGGCAGGCCCTAGACTTCCGTGCATAGGTAGGAGGAAACAACGCACAGCACGTGCCCGCAAGGAAGGGAGAGTACCTCGCCTTTCAGGAGCTGTGCCCTTGGAAGCTGGGGCGTAGGTGCACCTGTGTGCCAGCCTGGCTATATGCTTGTCCCAACCTGAGTACAACCGAGAGGGGCGCCTCGCAAGTCCATCCCCGCTCTCCTCCTGCCCCCGTGCAGTGTACACGGCCAGCGCAAGTGTGCGCCGGGGGCTCGGGCGGAGGGCTTTTCCGCACTTCTCTTAGTTTCTTTGTCTCCAGTTCTCGAAAGACTAAAGTAGGACCCTAACGAGGCACACGCTTAGAAAAGGACTCAACATTTCTTAAGCTTAGTGCCCTCTAGGGGGAGCAGCGGGCATTGAGAGAGAGAGGTGAACGGCAGCCCCCTTACACACACTCACACGCCCAGTGACCCCAGGGGGTATGGCCTCTGCACACCTCTGACCTTCCTCCCGACCCAGCTACGCTGACACCACCGCCTCTCCCAGGGCACTGTCCTTGCCTCCGAGCCCTTCCAGTCCTCCCTCCCGGCCTGCAAGGTGGGATGCCGCCCACCAGACTCACCCGGGGGCCGGCCTAGCCCCTGGGCTCGGCTCGGGGTCTGCGAGGCTCCGCCCCGGGCCCCACCCCCTGCCCGGGACCCCTCTGAGCCCCGCCCCCGACGCGGCCCCTTCCTCGCCACAGCGGACTGTGCGGGCAGCCAGGTCGGGGCAGTGGCGCTGGACTGCGGCTGCAGCGGCCGGCTCGGGGTGCGGGGCGCCGGCCGCTCTGCGGCGGAACCGGCGGGGACCGACCGCGCGAGGCGCGGGGGGTGGGGGTGCCAGGTCGAGGCCGTGCTGGGGGGGGCGCCGGGGGCCGGGGGCCGCCGACTCTCACCTCCTCTCGGGCGGGGCCCTCGTCCGCCGCTGCCATGGGCTCCTCCGGGACCCCGGAGCCGCCACCGCCGCCGCCGCCGCCGGCGCTCTCTCCCGCGGCCGAGCCAGGGGGGGACATGGCGTAGAGGGGGCGCGTCGAGCTCAGGACCTCCCGGGGGGCTGCCAGGGGCCGGGGGCATCCTGCGCTGGCCCTGAGGAAGGGGGCGCGAGGGGCGGGGCCCTCTCTGCTCCCCACCCCCCGCCGGGGGGAGGGGGCCTAGAAAGGGCACGTGAGGGAGGGCTGGAGATAGGGGGATGGGTGGGAGGGCGGGCTGGAGGGGCCGGGCGGGGGGGGCCGGGGCCGGGGGCGGGTGTCACCTTGAGGCCCTCGCGGCGCCGCTCCGCCTCCCGCCCGCTCCCGCCGCCGCCTTTTGTCTGAGCCGAGCTGAAGCCAGCGCGCCCCCCCCTCTTCCTCCCGTGCAGCAGAGCCCCGCCCCCGGCCCCCCAAACTCCGCCTTCGCCAAGCCTTCCTAATAACCACCACCACACCGCCAAAGGGAAGAAGCAACAGGGCTCCCCGCACCCTTTCTCTCTCTCAGCTCTGCTAACCGCATCTTCCTTCTGCCTGCCCATTCCGGGAAGAACGCAGCCTCAACTCCTCTCCAGCTGCCCTCCTAGAAGGACCCCGGGGCGGGGGAGGTGGGTAGCTGACCAGCATCCCACGCTTCCATCCCTGGTTCCCTCAAGTCCCTGAGGCTGAAGGCTGGGGAGAGGGAAATGAGTCTGGGAATCCTAGGAGAGACTCTTATTCCTAGTTTGCGTGGTAAAGGGTTAAGGCAAGAGCCAGACTCCAGAGGGAAGGAGTAGGGTGAAAGGGAAGACTCTGAAGCTAGATCCAAGAAAGGACTACTAGAGGGCAGAGAGACGAGCCTCTGGAAGGATCTCCTTCGCAAGAGCAGCCCAGAAAAGCAGTGAAGTGCATCCGGTTCCTAGCCTGGGGGTCAAGGACACCTGAGTTCTTAATTCTGGCTCTGCTATGATAAGTTGTGTGGCCTTAGACAAGTACCTTCTCTGAGTCCTTCTTTCCCCCCTCACCAGTGCAGTGAAAAAAGTTCATCAGCCTTTCAGGGTAGGGAGGCAAAGTCACAGACCACAGGCAAGCTGAGTGACTGCGGGCAGCCAAGTCCTTCGTGCCACCCGCCCGCTGCTCTCTCCCCTGCGTTGACTAGGACACACAAGAGACAGTCATTTTTGTTTTTCGTGAATGCATTCCCGGGTACACCCATAAATAGGCACCTACCGTGTGTCATGTGTAGAACTAAAATGCAATGTCCTGCCCTCAAAAAGCACAGTCTAGCTGGGGAGAAGACACGCAAACCAATCATTATAATAGAGTGAGGTAAAGGCCAGGCGCAGTCACTCTGTGTATATAGTCACATGCCGTCCTACTGTGTGACTAGGGTCTTTGACATACAATAAGCCGTAGGGATTCAAGGCGTATGGGGGCAAGTGAGTGTTCATGGAGTCCCCTGTCAGCACCCACAGTCACTCCTAGAATTCAAATCTCCCTCTGGAAAAAAAAAGTTCATGAAGGGAGGTGACACACGGCTGAGGCAGGAGGATCCCTACCAGAGGCCAGCCTGAGCTACGCAACAAAACACTGTCAAAAAGGGGGTAGGTGGGAGGTTGGGCTTCTAGCTCAGGGTAGGTCACTTGTCTAGCGTGTGTGAAGGGCTAGTTTCAGTGCCCAGTACTGGGAGTTCCTTTAGAGCAGGAAGTGACCTTCAGGCAGTTTTGATATCTGCTCTCTGGGACAGGAAGTAAGTCTACCCGGATGCCCAGATACTCCCTTGCCTCTCCTGGATGGGGAGGGCCACTCCCTCCGTCCCCACTTCTGCTTCTGCCTCAGTTTTTCTATTCCTCTCATCCCAAGTGAGTACAGCAAGCTCTCTGCCCCCCCCCCATAGCTTTGAAGTATCAGCCTCTTTCGGTCAAAAAGTCCATTCTTTCTCTGAACAGGGCATAGTTTCCAAAAGGGAACACTTCTTGTTCTCAGAGGAGTCTCTCGGTGGCTCATTCCAATGGCTCCCACCCACGGCTTTTGGGAAGCCTGCCTGGCAGTTTCAGCCCATCTCACCATGGTCAGCTCCCTGCATAGACAGCCGAGGTCCTACCACTGGCCTTTCCTAGCCTAGATGGATTCATCATGCTTTCCATTTGGCTATGATCTTTCCCTTGCTGCTTATCCACACTGTCTCTACCTCGGAATGTTTGGTCAACTTCTGAACTACCGAGAGACCCCCATTTTCCCTGGTCATAGACAATATCTTCCCCTGGAAGCTCCAGGAAAGGGGGGTTGAAAGGAGGGGGCAGTGGAAGGAGCTGACCGCCTGGTCACCATGGAAACTAGGCCTGTTTCTCTGAAGATAAGCCTAGTGCAGTGGGTGGAGGTGAGGAGTAGGGCCATCCGAAGGGAAGCAGAGGACACCGGCAGAGAGGTGGGTGCTGAGTGGCCCCACCTGGGAGATGGCTGTTGTTAAGAAGTCAGGACCTGACCACACTGCAGCTTGACTCAAAGGCCAATGGCCATGCTTTCAAATAAAACTGCCCTTGGGGGTCCTTCTCCCCACTCCAGGAGTGACAGAAAAGCTCTATCAGAGTACAGGCGCTTGGGCTGAGGTCGTGGGTGGCTCAAGGCTGACCTCATGTGGTCAATACAGGCGTTGCCACACACCTGTTAAGGCTCAGGACCAGACACCTGGTTGGGTTCAAGCAGGACCTCTTTGTGAATTAGGAAGGTCCCTTGCACTCTCCTGGGTCAGGTTCTCCCATCAATGAGATTTAGATCTTGGTAAGAGTTTTACTGAAGAAAATATAGGATTAGATCAAAGAAGCCAGTTCTGTATTTTTCTGACTATGGGTCCTTGGGCAAACCAGCTGACCTCTTGAAGTCTCAGGCAGTTTTTTTTCTTTTTACTGCTTATTCATTTGCTCTAGATTTTGAGAATGGGAGAGGTGCATACAGAAGAGGAGGTTGAAAACTTCTGAGGCCATATTGGCCCCAATGGAGCGTCGTTTCGTTTTGCTCAGGGTGTTTATTTTGGGGTTTAATGCCAAGGATCAGACTTAAGGTATTACATTTGCCAGGTAAGTGGTCTACCTCTGAGCCACATTCCTAATTGATGCCTCAATTCCTCAGCCTGCCTTAAACTCGGCACATCCTCTCGATTCTCCTCCAGTGGGGTGGAGAGCCTCTCTTCTCTTCTCACCTCTTTCCCTCACCATCTCCAGCTTAGCGTGGGCCACTTCTGTCCCTTTCTCCACTGAGTTAAGTAGTTGGCCCTACTGTGTGACAGTCTAGGTTGTAATTTCCAGAAACTTTAAAAGAGTTTATTTAGCAGTTATTAAAGGTGGTGCAGGCCTCAGGAGGCAGGCGGATCTGCCGAGTGAGTTCCAGGAGAGCCGGAGCTGCTCAGAGAAACCCTGTCTGGAAAAACCAAAATAAAGAAATGAGTATAAGAGACGCGGTTTTATTTTATTTTATTTTATTTTATTTTATTATTTTATTTGTGTGAGTGTTTTGCCTGTAGGTGTTCATACCTAGTGTCCATGGGGGCAGAAGAGGGGTTCATTTCAGGTGGCAGATGGTTGTTAGACTCCATGTGGGTGTGTGGAACTGAGCCTGGGTTGTTTCCAAGAGCCATAAGTGTGCTTAACTGCTGAAGCATCTCTCAGCCCCTGCCAGAAACTTTTAGAAGGCTGGGATGATTTTTTTTTTATGGTGATGGTGAAAATGATAGTGGCTGTTGGTTATTACTGTTGCTATGGTTATTGGTCTTTCTTTCAGATCAGAGATATATCAGTTATATAGAAGCAGTTCCGGGGCTGGAGAGATGGCTCAGAGGTTAAGAGTGCTGGTTGCTCTTCCAGAGGTACTGAGTTCAAATCCCAGCAACCATAACAGTGGATCACAACCATCTATGATGAGATCTGGTGCCCTCTTCTGGTGCTCAGGCATACATGCAGACAGAACACTGTATACATAACAAATAAATCTTAAAAAACAAACAGTTCCATATATGTGTGAAATGGTTAAATGAACAAAATAAGGTTCTGGTGGAAAGGGCAGAAGAGAATGGCTAAGTAGCTATCCTTGCTTCCTTCATGAATGCCGGGATACAGCAAAGCTGTTCCCTTGGTTGGTCTTGAAGGGTATTGCTAGACCAAGGAAAGATCAGCATTAAGGCTCCGGCTCAGGGTTTACCTGTGGGCAGTGTTCTCTCCAACCCTAGCTATGCTGAGGAAAAGCAGGACTGCAGAGAAAACTGTTTCAGGGCTGGGGCTAGGGTGGAGACTTCGACAGTGGCAGGAGCCTCCCCACCCTGGCCCCACCATAAGGAACTAGACCTCTCTGACTACTGGGGGGGGGGTAGCCTGATACTGTACCCACCAAAGGCCAGGGCACCACCCTGTGAAGAAGAAGCCCCATGACCACCATTGTTAGATAAGTCTGCCCCAGAAAACCCACTTCCCCAAATCACATCCTCCTGCCAAATCCGTGATCTGGGGAAGTGACACAGGAGACAGTCTATGAAGATGCTCCAGGGAGGGGCTGGAAAGATGGCTCAGCAGTTAAGAGCACTGGCTGCTCTTCCTTCGGTCCTGAGTTCAAATTCCAAGCGACCCCATGGTGGCTCACAACCATCTATAATGAGATTTGTTGCCCTCTTTTGTCACGAGGGCGTACATGCAGATAGAGAACTCACATTCATAAATCTTTAAAAAGAAAAAAGTAAAGTCTCCAGGGAAAAGCTTCTCCCCTAAAGATAATGAGGTGCACTCCCTTCTTACCCAGACCCCTGGGCACTGGTAGGGAAAGATGAAATTGAGAAAAATAGGCAGAGGGTAGCAAGCAAAGCCTCCCTCTGTGCTAGCTGGTCTGTCGGCTTGACACAAGCGAGAGTTATGTGAAAGGAGGGAACCGCAGTTAAAATGCCTCCATAAGATGCAGCTGTAAGGCATTTTCTTATTTAGGGATTGATGGGGAGGGCGCACCCCGTCCCAGCCCATGGTGAGCGATGCCATTCCTGGGAAGAAAGCAGGCTGAGGAAGCCATGAGAAGCAAGCCAGTAAGCAGCACCCCTCTACGGCCTCTGCATCAGCTCTGTCTCCAGGATCCTGCCCTGTTTGAGTTCCTGCCCTGATTTCCTTCCGTGATGAACAGCAATGTGGAAGTGTAAGCCAAATAAGTCATTTTTGCTTCCTAACCTGCTTTCTGGTCATGGTGTTTCATCGCAGCAAACAGAAAGCCAAACTAAGAGACCATCCCACCAACCTACACAATCTCCCTACAAAGCGGCCAGTCTATGCAGAAAACCAAGAAATACACTTTTTAAATAATTGAACAAATAAATGATTGAAGACACAGAACTAAAAGAAGGAACGAACGAATGCATGAAACTAGTGAATGAAATGATGAGGAAGAAGAAGGGTGAGTAAATGAATGACTGAATGAATGGGCGAAACCATGCCCGCAGAAGTCAAGTCAGGAACGGTAACCAGACACTCCCAGCCGACGCAGGCTACAGTCAGGGGGATTCCGGAGGGGCGGGGCTCTACCCGGAAGCGCCTTCGGGGGGCGGGGCTATGGGCGTGGTTGTGGCTGGTGGCCACTTCTTGGGCCCGGGGGCGGGGCGAGTAAGAAGACTGGACGAGGGGACCGTTCAGCTGCCCAAAGCACTCGCTACGGTGGACCTGGCCGGCGCCCTGGACCTCTCGCGCTTCCCGTCCGCTCCCCGCGCCTGCACAGCCAGGTAATGAGGCCGCTCGGAGAGGGACTCTGGTTCTGCTAGGCGGACCCACAAACCCGGAAAAGCGCGCGGCACATCTCAGAGTTAGATCCCTCCGGACACCGGACCCCCGGGCTGGCGCGGCCGGCATGTCGGATGCGCGGAAGGGGCCGGACGAGGTGGACGACAGCCAGTGCGACTCCGGCATAGAGTCGCTGCGCTCTCTGCGCTCCTTGCCCGAGCCTACCGCGGCCCCAGTGTCCGGATCATCGCACAGCAGCTGCCCACAGCCTTGGAGCCATCCTCCGGAGACGAACAAGGAACCAGGGGAGAAGGAAGATGAGGATGGAGAGCGGGCTGACTCCACCTATGCCTCTTCCTCTCTCACCGAGTCCTTGCCCTTGCTGGAGAGACCCGAATCCGAGGAGCCAAGCCCGGCCTCAGGCTCACCGCTGCCGGCCGCGGGAGTGCTGAGCCCTCAGCAACTCGAAGCGCTCACCTACATCTCTGAGGATGGAGACACGTGAGTAAACTGGCTAGACAGGATGTTTCCAGAGCCTCCCCAGACGCTGCAACTGGCTGAGCACCCACCACCACCATCATCACCTGAGAGGATAGATCCTCAAAGCACCCGCCCTGGAAGAGCCAGCCCCCTTCTCCAAACTCCACACTTAACATGCAGCCTACTTTTAAGCTATAGCCAGGTTCAAACCGAAACACCAAACATCGTCACCCTCTTTTTTGAAGTGGACAGAGCTAGCAGGGCCCTGGCAACCTGGAACACCAGCCAGAATTTTGAAAACCTACCACTGACCCACCCCTGGGAAGAGAAATTTCCCCCAACCAGTACGCTTTTTGTTTTTCTTGTTGGGGGAAGGGGTGTCCCTGTTTGCTCAATATTCGGGATCCCAGTGTCTGACTTCAGAACGCTGTAACCAAAGGAACAAAAGACAACACCAGGTTTCAGGTTGCCTTTTGAGGCCAGGAAGCTTAAGTTAAGGGTGCTGCCAGGGTGCCTCTTTGGAATTGGTTCCAAAAGAAGGGTGACTGGACTGAGAATTCTTGCCCCAGCAAACAGGATAGGCAGCTGGCTGCCCCAGCTTACTTCCTCCTCTGCTGAGAAAAGGGAAGTGATGGCTTGGTGTCAGCCTCCCCAACACCCTGCACCTCCTGAGCTCCCCAAATCTTCCTTGATATCCTGTCTTGTCTCTTGATTTTCCCTTTCCTCCCCTAGGCCCAGTTGGAGTCCGGTGCAGCCGGACTGAGAGGCTCTCAAGTGTGTAGGAGGAGTAGCCAATAGGAGACTTGGCCTTAGGTAGAAGAACGTGTTAGCAGAGGGGGTGACTGGGCTTTTGGGATGATAGACAGAATAGGGGTGGCTGGAGTCCCAGATGAGAGATGCCGGGATGACCTGCTTGTTGGAGATGTGGGGGTCTGGGGTAGGTCCTGGCAAAGATAGTTTCCATCCTGTGAGTGGGAGAGAGGGTGTAAGTAAGCCTTTTGTACTTTGTGCCAGGATCATAAAACCTTAACCCAGAACCTCAGAGTTTGGGGGAGCTCCAAGCACAATTTCTCCTGCTGCCCTCCATTGCTAGCCTCTGAGCTCCAGCCTTGACCAGCTCTGGTTAGGTGGTGTCTGTGTGTGTGTATGTGAAAGCATCAGGACCCCCTCCCCGCCCCCAGCAGAGCTCTTTCCTCCTCTGGAGGTGACTGGACTGTGGGAAGTGTGGAAGTGGGAAACGGAAATGGGAGGAGGGGAGACTGAGGGAGAGGGAGGTGGCTGCAGGAATGTGACCCAGAGAGCAGGCCCTGGCTGAGGGGATTTCCAAAGTAGTTCCTCCCTCTCTCCGTCACTCTCTTCTGGCCTCCTTTACTGCCTGCCTACAGCAAAAGTTTGCCCCTCCTGCCTGAATCCCCCTCCCTAGCCCAGAGGAGCCTTTAGCCAAGTTGCCCCAAAGCAGCTGTCCAGGTCTAGACCATCTTGCCCTGGCTTTCGTTTTCCCCACCTGAAGTGGGGAAACCCCAGGACTGGAACTTCCCATCCCAACTGCCCCAGTTAGCCCTGAGTTACAACCCTTGTCACCCCCTCCCCACCAAACACATTTTCTGCACCGCACCAAACACTCCTTGGAGGTGCACCTAGGAGGGGGTTTCTGACCAGGCCCAGCCTGGCCTGTGCAGGCCGAGGAATGGCCCTCTTGACTCATGGGAGCAGTTCGAGATGCCTTGCCCTCTTCCCTCCCTTGGAATGTGTGACATTGAGTTGCTGGGGGAACCCCACGTCTGCCTCGTCCTGTCCTCCCTGTTGTGGGGAGGTGGGTAGCTCAGCTCTGGAAACCCCCTTTGTGTTCCTCCAGCAGCTTTCAGTTTAGCTTTTAGCTGCAGCTGACCTGGCAAGGCCCTGGGGGCAGAAGGGAGCTGGGTGTGGGCAAGTTGGACAGGAAGGTCCTTGTGCTGTCAGTAGTCTGCCCACATGCCCACCCAGCCAAGGCCCTCCACAGGTCCAGTCATCCGAGCCTGGGGCTCCCACCTCCAGAATCCTGGCTTCCTGTGCCAACCCCTCACTTCCTGGCCCAGACTCTCACTTCCTGCACCTGCTTGGTTTTGGGTAGTTAGTTAGAGGTTGCTGCATGCATTCTAATGCCAAGACCCCAGCTTATAGTCTCTGACCCTAGCCCTTTCCTGTTCTAGGCTGCTCCACCTGGCAGTAATTCATGAAGCCCCATCGGTGCTGTTCTGTTGCTTGGCTTTCCTGCCCCAAGAAGTTCTGGACATACAGAACAACCTTTATCAGGTGAGTAGAGAGAGAAGCCTATGCCCAGATACCTGTCCTCAGCTGCCAAACCAGAGGCCATAGGAAGCCATCTGCCAGACACAGTGCCAGAAGCTGCAACACAAAGATGAGTAAGATGCAGCCTGTGCCCACGAGGTACCCATAGGCTCATCGCCAGCATGATAACAACAATTGTATTGATGTTCATAGCAGCTTCAGTGGGGTCTGGTGTCTTTGTGAGACAGGCTGACTATAAGAGATGACATCTTCATTACGCCTTAAAGGAGGGAATTGTCAAGGAGGCAGCCCTGGATCCTCTGTCATCCCTCCCCTCACCCAGCCCCTGAGGTCAGCCCTTGAGGATAATACGGATCTCTCCAGAGGAGAAGAACTAGGAGCAGGGCACTGTTTCTCTCACCCCACTTCCAGAATTGGGGTCACAAGCATTTGGGGAGGGGCTCGGGAGTAATTTCACAGAAGACCCAACTGTGGCCTTTATAGCTACTTTCAGAGAGGCTGCAAGAAGTTAGAGATGGTTGTAACCCCCTCCCCAAACATGTTCTCAGAGGGAGGAGCCTGCTGCAGTGGTCCTGTGACCCTGTGACCCTCTGTGCCTACAGACAGCACTCCATCTAGCTGTTCATCTGGACCAGCCAGATATAGTTCGGGCACTCGTGCTGAAAGGAGCCAGCCGGATACTACAAGACCAGCATGGTGACACAGCCCTGCATGTAGCCTGTCAGCGCCAGAATCTGGCCTGTGCATGCTGCCTGCTGGAGGAGCAGCCAGAGCCAGGCAGAGAGCCAGCCCATCCCCTGGACCTCCAAATGAAGAACTGGCAAGGTACAAGTGGCCCCCAGGGCCTAAGGGGTAAATAAGAGGTAAAGACAGGGCCCCGAGTGCCAGGGAAGGGAGATCCCTACCCTGCCTGTTGTTATTCCTCCAGTCTGAGCACAGAAGCGTTCAATACATCCTTACTAAATGATGTTTCAGAATTTACCCAGTGCCTGCAGTGTGATGAGCAGAAATCTAAATCTTGCCCTAAGGATATTTAATTTAGCAGCAATTAGGTAGACAAATGAACTCACTTTCTATGTGCCACACATCATCCTGGGAGCAGAACCAAGGAAGAGTGAGGCAGACAGTAAATACACAATGCGAATTCTATGTGTTTAAAGGAGGTGAGTGTGGTGGTAGAGTAGCAGAAGGGCTTGGGAGCTGATTTTTTTTGTAGGGCGGTCAGGGAAGTCCTCAGAATCAGGAACCTTTGAACAGAGACTTGAAAGAAACAAAAGGTGCAAGTCTGAATCTGAATCTCTATTACAAGCAGGGTAAGAGAAAGGAAGGTGGTTCTAGACTGGAAGGGAGAGAGCCAAATAAAGTGAAATAAAAGTCGTGGGGTGTACAGGAAGAATTGACCTCAGGATAGAGATAGGAGCCATGAGGCTCCCCAGACAGCTCTGAGAAGACTCACCTCAGCTTAGCAGGGGGTAGGTGTGTGCATTGGAAGAATGTGTGCGTCCGTTTGGGGCTGCCACTCAGCAGCCTGATCCTTGAAGCATGAAAGTTTCAATAACATGACTGAAAAAATGGAAACTTTGAGTTCCTTTCCTCTCAGACTTCTGAGGGGGTTTTTGGGAGGTTGTATTTTAACAGTCCTGTGACTAGAGGCCTTGAGTAGGCAGAGTCCCTCGAGGCTAAAGGGCAGGAGTGCCTAAAGAAAAGGATCCGCAGCCACCAAACAGAAGTCCCCACCCTCCTCCACCCCAGGTCTGGCCTGTCTCCACATCGCCACATTGCAGAGGAACCAACCACTCATACAACTGCTGCTTCAGAACGGAGCTGACATTGATGCACAGGTGAGGCCGCCAATCAGGGTGCCACCCGGTCCCCCACCTGCCACCGTGTGACCCAGCTGCCAGTCCCCCCCCTGCCAGTGTCACACATATTGACGCCCCCTCTCCAGAGCACAGGCTGGGTAGAAACTGCCTCTCGACATACAGAGCTGACAGACATCCCTGTTCCTCTCCAGGAGGGCACCAGCGGGAAGACTGCACTGCACCTGGCTGTGGAAACCCAGGAGCGAAGCCTGGTGCAGTTCCTGCTCCAGGCTGGTGCCCGGGTAGATGCCCGAATGCTCAACGGGTGCACACCTTTACACCTGGCAGCTGGCCGGGGCCTCAACAGCATCTCATCCACTCTGTGTGAAGCTGGTGCCGACTGCCTGCTGCTGAACGTAGAAGACGAGACGCCCCAGGACCTGGCCGAGGATGTAAGCAACATATGCTCTGCCTGGCAGAACCTCCCACCCGTAACAGACAGTGCTGGGGTGAGGTTACAGGTGTAACTCAGTTGACAGGGCGCTTGCCTAGCATGTGAGAGGCCCTCGGCTCACCACCCGGCACTCCATAAAACGGCACATACTGTTTTTTAAGCATTTGGGATTTGGACACAGGAGAACCAAAAACTGAAGGTCTTTATCTGTATAGCAAGTTCAAGGGCAGCCTAAGCTTCGTGAGTCTCTGCCTCAACCCCTCGACCCTGGTCAACTGCTGGGGCAAAACAGGACTACTTCTTACTCACTGTGACATCTTTGGCTGTCTTTGGCCCCCCAGCGAGTTTCTTACGCTGGTCAGACCCAAGGAATCCAAACATAGACTCCGACAGCAGTGAATCAGATGGAAGGCAATGCCGTGGTGAGGCTGGTGAGAGCCCCAAAGAGCCACACCTCAGCACATAGCTGCAAATGTCTGCAGCATACAAGAAGATACCCGGTATTTTCAGGTCTTAGGCTTTTTATAAAAAACAAAACTCACATTTTCTATACATTAAAATATATATATATTCAGGCTGGAGAGATGGCTCAGAGGTTAAGAGCACTGGCTGTTCTTCCAAAGGTCCTGAGTTCAATTCCCAGCAACCACGTGGTGGCTCACAACCATCTATAATGAGATCTGGTGCCCTCTTCTGGTGTGTAGACATACATGCAGGCAGAATACTGTGTGAATAAGAAATAAATCTTTTTAAAAAAAAATTTAGCCAGGTGTGCTGGAACATGTGTTTAATCCCAGCATGCCTTTAATCCCAGCACTTGGGAGGAAAAGGCAGGCTGATCTCTATGAGTTTGAGGCCAGCCTCCTCTGCATAGTGAGTTCCAGGACAGCAAGAACTACACAGTGAGACCCTGTCTCAAAAAAAAAAATTTTTTTTTAAAAACATTTAATGCTAACTCTTCCACACCCCTACCAACAGGAACAACAACAAAAAAAAAAAAAAAGGGGGGGGGGTGGCAATGGACTAGATCAGCTGTAAGGTCACTGCTAGCTCAGATATTCTGCAGGGGGTTTATTTCAGATGTTGCCTAAAGCATTGGGTCTCTGCCATGCCCAGGTCACTCGCTATCTGGGGTGTTAGTGTGACTGAGCTCCCCTTAGGTCTTCAGCTCTGATGGGAAGGGGGCTGCCTAGCGGCTTCCCGGCTCGCTACTGCCATCTCTCATGACATTAACTCTGCTTCCCTCCATTCTCTTTCTCAGCTCCTTTCTTATTTGCCCTTCGATGACCTGAAAATCTCTGGAAAGCCACTGCTGTGTACCGACTGAAGCCAGGGCGGGCCCCCACCTCTTCCCACCTGGGAGCTGGGGCCACAGCTGCTGCGGTTGGCACCCACACAATGTGCCCCTCTGCCAAAGCAGGGCCTGGGGACCGTGTGGTCCTACAGTGAGATGAAGGGCTGCAAACAAACGAGGAAGAGTCGGTCTGGAAGGAAGAGCTTCCTAGGCAGACTGGATAGAGATGCCTGAAAGAACCTCAAAACCCCGGGTGTCTTGAAGGGAGCCTCCTTGCTTCTGTTGAAGACAGCATGGGCTGAATTTGCCAACCACCAGGAAAACAGGGATGAGCAAGCCAGACCCTGAGGGCTCTTCCCTAAACCACCTGTGTGAGTGTGCTTGGCACTGGGGGTAGAGCCCAGAGCCTCCCCAGTGGTAGGCAAGCTCACTGTCCTGCAGCTCTAGCCACAGCTCTCCTTTCCCTTTTTCTTTTGTGGTGACTGATTTGCCTGAGATGGCCTGGGACCCACTCCATAGTTCAGCCAGTCTCTGAACTTGGATCCTTCTGTCTCAGCCTCCTGAGTAGCTGGGATGATATATCTGGCGGCAGTGGGCCTGGAAAAACACACTCATCTAAAGACTTCATATGTAAGGCTCCAAACTGAGCCTTTGGAAAGGGAGAATTCTATAATATGACACTAAAATGGAAGAGAGAAAAAAAAAAAAAAGTAGTTTTCCTTCTACAGTTGTTAGTACAGGCAGGCCTGAACTGTGACCCAAAGGTAAAGGCAGAGAGAAAAAACTGGCCCCTGAGTACAGGGAGTAGGGCATTGCTGGGAGGGTAGGAGGACTGAGAATTCTCAGGCCAGTTTCCTGCCAGCACAGACCCATCACCTTCCAGTGGAAATGCCCAGGGATGGAGAGTGAGAAAGAGGAATATGGAAACCTGTGTCCCTGGAGAAGCTTGTGGACATTGAACCCAAGAGAGCTGCAATTCTATTTCTTTCCCTGTTAGATTCCACACAATGAGGGCCCTGCTAGGTCAGGCCCATGACTGGCATGAAGACCAGGAAAAAATAACAACGCTTAGCGCTAAGTAAACGCATTCTGTGAGTGAGACAGATATTAAAATAATACACAACCAAATACGAGGTTATGTTGCAATGGGTGCGGGAAGAAAAAAAAAACTAGCAGGAAGGAGAACAGTGGAATGGGTGGAGGATTTTTTTTTTTTTTTTTTTTTTTTGGATGGCCAAGAGAAGCTTCAGATAGGTTATAGAAAGTGGGATTTAAGATGAGCAAAGAAAAAAAAAAAAAAGAGAGAGAGAGAGAGACAGAGAGCATTGGAAAAGGCTCTGGTGAATTAAAGGAACTGAAAGCAGGACTCCGGGGTAGACGAGTGGGGGCGACGAGGATGCACCAGGCCATGCAGAGCCTCGAAAGTCACCGTCACAGGCAGTAGTGGGGCATGATCACTGACCCAGCCAAAAATGGAAGGAGACTTAATTGCTAGAAAATGGGAAAACTAACAAGAGGGAAAGTACTGGGGTCTCAGATACTCAAGAGTCCGATCCGCTAGGTGGCTTTGGTCATCACCGTGTCTGGGATGTTGAGGGTTGATGGCTCTGTGACGAACCAGGCTGGTAAATAGGGAGTCCCAAGTGGGGTTTCCCAAGGGAACCGGACCTGGTGTGCCTCCGGGCCGCGCGGGGGCGCTGTGGCTGGGGCGCTGCGGAGGGGGCCGAGGCGGGGAGGCGGGAAGAGCGCAGCACTTCCGCTGACTGGCTGGCTGGCTGGCTAGCTGGCTGCTGGAGCGGGCGGCGGAGGGAGCGGAGGGAGCGCGCGGCCCGGGGACTCGCCTTCCCCGGTCCCCCCTCCGCCCCACGCGGCTGGGCCATGGACGCCAGGTGGGGGGGTTCGGGCAGCCATGGCCCACGTGACCGAGACCCCGGGGCCACGTGACCGAGACCCCAGGGCTTGGGAGGCGGGGTGGGGTCTCCCAGCTGCAGACCCGCGTGGCACTGTCGGGAGCCGGTGTGGGTGGGCGCGCGGCATGTGGCCTGCGCTCCTCGGGGAGGCTTCAGGATTGTCGCGCAGAGGGGGACGCGGGACTGTGGCGCTTCGGAGCGGGAAGGGGGGGAGCCCGCCTGTGGCCTGAGCTGCCCGCGCGCTGGAGGGAACAGAGGCGGACCTGTGTGGCTGGGCAGGCGGGGCCGCCCCCGGGAAGGGAGGAGGTTCTGCCTGGCCTGCGCCGGACCCCCCGAGAGAGAGGGAGAGAGAGGCTCTTTGTCCGTCCCGCTGGGCTGCAGCGGAGGGGGCGGGGAGGCCACTGGGCACTTCCCTGGTACAGTACCCTCCGGAGGGCAGAGGGGCTGAAGAGCTGCAACCCTAACCGCCCCTTTGGCTGTCCCTGCAGATGGTGGGCAGTCGTGGTGCTCGCCGCGCTCCCTTCCTTGGGAGCAGGTGGAGAGTCACCCGAAGCCCCTCCGCAGTCCTGGACACAGCTGTGGCTCTTCCGCTTTTTGTTGAATGCAGCTGGCTATGCCAGCTTTATGGTACCTGGCTACCTCCTGGTGCAGTACTTAAGACGGAAGAACTACCTGGAGACAGGTAACGTGGCCAAAGGGAGGGGAAATGAGCTAGGTCCGGTTGCTGGTGTTGACAGACCATGATTTGGGAGGGAGGGAAGCCGGTAGATCAGACAGCGGGGCTGGCTGGCTGCCCTGGAAAGGTGCGGAACTTGACTTTGTATGTCTTTTACAGGCAGGGGTCTCTGCTACCCTCTGGTGAAAGCCTGTGTGTTTGGCAGTGAGCCCAAGGCCTCTGATGAGGTGCCCCTGGCTCCCCGGACAGAGACAGCAGATACCACCCCTTCTTGGCAAGTCCTGAAGCTGGTCTTCTGTGCCTCGGGACTCCAGGTAGGTAGACAGACTCCCCTTCTCTTCCAAGGTTGAGTACAGACAGCCAGGGACTTAATAAAACCAAAGTTGGCCTGCTTACCCCAAAGGTTAGTTGATTTAGGTATGGTGTGTGTCTACACGACACAGACCCATCCTGAAAATGTCAAAAGAAGTGCTCCTTCCCTCCCTTTCCTCCTTCAACACCTGTACTGAAAGTTGCCTATATATACATATATATATTTCACCATATATTTATACATATATATGTATATATGTTTACATGTATATATATGTATGATATCTATCTAGTGTGGAAGATGGCCTGTCTTTACTGTATTTTTTCCTGTGCTTTTATTCTGCACTGTATACTGTGTCTAATACATAATCCCACTGACAAAATTGGGGGGGGGACGCCAAGCATGGTGTCACAAACTGTCATCCCAGCTAACTGGAAGGATGAAGCAGAAGGGTTGTGAGTTGAAGGGCTGCATCTGGTGGTGACACACGCCTTTAATCCCAGTGAGTTTGAGGCCACCCTGGTCTACAGAGTGAGCTCCAGGCCAGTCAGGGCTACCGGAGAAACTGTGTCTCAAAAAGCCAGAAAGGAAAAAGAAAGTCCCAGGCGTGTCTGAGCACTTTTAGTATGAGATTCTGTCTACACATAAAATAAGCCAGGTATTGTGGTACGTTAATCCCAGCACTAGGGAAGAAGAGCAGGTGGGGCTCAGAGTTACCAGCCAGCCTGGTCTATAGAACTAGGGCTGCATGGTGAGATTGTGTCTCAAAGTAATGTAGTAATGGGGGAAATAGCTCTGGGGATGCAAGTTTAGACAGCCATTCAGCCTCTGTGAGTAGGAGGCTATCACAGGGCATTTCAAGTGGGGTCCCTGCTCAGATACATGTTGAGCTGCAAGTGTCCGGCCCCACCCCCCCCCCCCCCGCCCCCAGGCTTCCAAACATTCCAATTTATTTTGAGTTGGTTCAAAATAAAGCGCTTTATATGGTATATGGAGCCAGCTCTAATGGACTCACATGGGCAGGGTTTGGGCCTAAAGTAGGTGTCAGTATGTTTGCAACTTCATGTGATTCCCTGCAAGATGAACTAAAGCTTAGGAAAGAAGCCCCTAGTACAAAGGAACCAAAAGGAATGGTGTCAGTTACATCCTATGCAGTCATTCTGAGGAAGAGGGAAACTGACCTTCTACCTTCTCCTTTTCATGTTTAACTGTCGCCACTCACCACCCTCCCTCTTGCAGGTGTCCTATCTGACTTGGGGTGTACTGCAGGAAAGAGTGATGACCGTCAGTTACGGGGCCACAGCCACATCACCAGGCGAGCATTTCACAGACTCGCAGTTCCTGGTGCTAATGAACCGTGTGCTGGCACTGATCGTGGCGGGCCTCTACTGCGTCCTACGCAAGCAGCCTCGTCACAGCGCACCCATGTACCGGTACTCCTTTGCCAGTCTGTCAAATGTGCTTAGCAGCTGGTGCCAGTACGAAGCACTTAAGTTCGTCAGTTTCCCTACCCAGGTGCTGGCCAAGGCCTCCAAGGTGATTCCCGTCATGATGATGGGAAAGCTGGTGTCTCGGCGCAGCTATGAACACTGGGAATACCTGACTGCTGGCCTCATATCCATTGGAGTTAGCATGTTTCTGTTGTCGAGTGGACCGGAGCCCCGAACCTCTCCAGCCACCACACTCTCAGGCTTGGTCCTCCTGGCAGGCTACATTGCTTTTGACAGCTTCACCTCAAACTGGCAGGATGCCCTGTTTGCCTATAAGATGTCATCGGTGCAGATGATGTTTGGGGTCAACTTATTCTCCTGTCTTTTCACAGTAGGCTCACTACTAGAGCAGGGAGCCCTCCTGGAGGGGGCGCGGTTCATGGGGCGACACAGTGAGTTTGCACTCCATGCCCTCCTCCTCTCCGTCTGCTCTGCCTTCGGTCAGCTCTTCATCTTCTACACCATTGGACAGTTCGGAGCTGCCGTCTTCACCATCATCATGACTCTTCGCCAGGCTATTGCCATCCTTCTCTCCTGCCTTCTCTATGGCCACACTGTCACTGTGGTGGGGGGTTTGGGAGTGGCTGTGGTCTTCACCGCCCTCCTACTCAGAGTCTATGCCAGGGGCCGTAAGCAGCGGGGAAAGAAGGCTGTACCCACTGAGCCCCCAGTGCAGAAAGTATGAGCGGAGTAAAGGCTCCAGCACTCTGGTTCAAGGGCAAATATTTTCTCAGTATACAGCAGAGGACTGGAGTCCTGGGGACAGCCTCTTTTTGCCTTGCCTTAAGAGCCCCACACCTCATGGAAATGAATTATGGGCCTGAGAGGCAATCCAGAGTGTTTGTGCCAGGCCTTTGCTTGTTCCCATTTTTTGTTTTTAACACCCACTCCTTGAGACTGTCAGACACCAACTGGGTAAGAGAAGCACAAGTGTTATCAGGCCAGCAGCCCCCTGGGTGGTTGGTGAAAATGGTGCTGTGTCCGAAGTGACAGAGCCCTGCCTGGCCTACTGGGGCCATGTCCTCCAAGCAAGTTCTGGTACTTTTGCTGGTACACCTTTTGCTCTTATGATTAAACTGCAGCAGTGACTTAGCCCTGTGTTTTGGTTGGCTGAAGGTCTCAAATTGCAGTATTAGAATTTGGAGTTCAAAGTGAACACAATTCAGGTAAAGCCCACAGCATCTTGAGTGTTACAAGGAGAACAGGACTGTATAAAACTGCATCTTCTTTATTTTGCATACTTTTAATTTCAGAACAAAATAAAACAAAAAAACCACAATACACAATACCCAACCCTGCTATTCTGTGGGAGGGGATTTTTCCTGCCTTAAGGCACAAGGCCACAAGGATAGGATAGAAGAAATTCCTCTAGACATGAACAGAGCCAGGTGAGTCAAGGCTGCTGGGGAGCCACAGGGAAAACTATACAGAGGGCACGGGAGGCCTGGGGGGTGGAGGGGGGTGTCTTTAATCCACTTCTTCCATGCGAGAGGCATCCTCATCACCCTCCAGTGGGGGGATCTCATCAGGAACAGCAGCACTGGGCTCCTCTGCTGTCACTTCATCTTCATCGATGCCTAAAGGAGAAACATCAGATTTAAGCTAAATAGCAGTAAGGGTCCAGCCAGCTTAACACCTTGCCCCGTGTAGCTTAGAGTTGCCTAACTCACCCAGGCCCAGCTTAATCATGCGGTAGATGCGGTTGGAGTGGGTTTGGGGATCCTCAAGTGAG